AATATATATATACATAAGTGCCTAAATGCGTCTGCCTCATTGAATATTCGTCATTAATTAACGCTTATTAACTTTTTTGCTATGTATGGCTTGCTTTTTGTTTGTTAAATTAAGTATTTATATATACGTAGTCTATTTTATTAATATTTATTGACGGGGAACTAAAATTTCTTAAAGTATATAGAAATTATATGCATATTCTCGTTGGAGATATAATATAAAAAAAAAAAGTTTCGATAAAAAATGAATTTCATCCTATTTAAAAAGCAAAAAAGTTCTAACTGGGCCAATTGCATGGTATCTTAAATTTAAAGTTAAAATTGCTAAATGGACAAATGGGAAATGTTATGTAAATGAAAGATTAAAGCTTTGGTATTAATAGTAAGAGCTGTTTTGGAATACTTCAATTTTAAGGTTTCTGGCGTCTTGACTACTAAATTTGTACTAAAAACAACATTATCGATAACAATCAGCAATGGATTAATGAACAACAGATAAAACAACATTACCAGCATAGCTTTAAAAAGAAAATAAAAAACCACAAGAAACAAAAAAATACATACACACAAACAACAAAACAAATTAATAAATATATATATTTGATATTTGTATCATACCAAGAAAACATAATTAATAATACTTCCCTACTTCTATAAACTGTGCAGTTCAAGCTGGAGGATATCACCAGCGGTGGCACTTACCCGCCCAACCAGAGCACCATCATACCCAGCGCACCAGCGGTCATGGCAGCGGTCAATTTGGCCAGCACCGCGGGCAGCCAGCGTCGCATCAGCAGTGGGCCCAATGCGCGTAAGTGACTGCAAATATAACTGTGATGAGCTCATTTTAAACGTGCAAACTCTTTACAGTTAATGCTTCCAATCAGTCGCTCAACTCTGTGGGTCGTCCTGTCTCGGCGCCTAGTGAGAGCATTAATAATAGCGCCTATGTAACGCCACCGGCGCGCAGATATGAAACATCTACGCTGCCGGCAACTGCCACAACAACAGCCACTGCAACAACAGCAACAACTGCCACGACAGCCAACAACTCTGCAACGTCTGCATCCAGTGCCAACCATGCAACGGCCACCAGCCATGAAGATAAGGGTAATCTAGCAAAGACGCAGCCAAAAGACACAGTGCATCTAATCCGATTTCGCTCTCTTCCCTCTCTTCTATTAGATAACGACAAGGAGAATGATAATCGCACACAGACTGTTATACAGCGACGTCGCAAGCCCAAGCGCAGATCCACGGGCGTGGTGCATATCGATATGGATGTAAGTGAATCTCATTCTCTATATATCTTAGCATCTCAGTCTGCTAATTGCCAGGCCATTTGTCAAACTAAATGAGCCATGCGCGTCTGTCAACTATATTTAGACCAAATGCTAATTAGCCAAACTAATGTACGTAAATCTTTTGCCAGGAAATCGATCCAGAGCGACAACATGAAACGGCTAACAATGACAACGAGGATAAGGAGAAGGAGGTAAATTAAATAATTAAAAATAAGTAGATCTAAATTAATTAGCTTATTATAGTATGCGAGTTTCGTTAGCCTGTTCCGAATTGTGCAAGAATTGAATATGAACTAATTTAAAGATAGATCAAGTGAATTGCAATTGATTGCTCTTTGAAAATAATGAATTTGAAAAGAAGCCCCATTTAAAAATAGTTCACATATGTCGAAAATTCAAAAGTCTTAAACAATTTGAACAATTCTCGGAATACGTTAAAGCTTTTCATTTTCGTTTGCGAGCGCTTTTCAACGAATTCGCAATTCGGAACATGGCTAATTATATATTTGTAAATATTCTTACCTATACACCTATACCGCAACAACAACAACAATATCAAGAACAATTGGAACATATATTTTAGTACATAATTATTTTCGCACCTTGGCAAAAATTGGGTGCACAGCAGCTGCCCTGTCTTCTATCTAAACGCGTAGTCAATACTGCAACACACACACTCATCCATATATACACATATATACACACACACTTATATATTCGTCACACCTTGTCACAATTTTAGACAGTCCCGTGCGTCCTTCAAAGTAGCTGCTGCTCTGCTCCGAGCTCTGTCTGTTCCAATTAGCCGGCGACCCATTTGTGCAAAAATGAAAAAAAAAAAAAAAAAAAATTAAATTATGATTTCCATTAGAAGAAGCGCCGAGAATAAGAAGCAGCAGCAGCGGTACTAGCACATATGCACGTGGCATTGTGAATGCCATTGCTCCAATTGTGAATGATAAGTGTGCAGCACGCAAATCCTTTCATGGCCGAGGTCAAAACTATTAGTGCACATCCAATTTGTGACAATATTTGAGAATTTGATTTTCATTGCTGCTCAGCGAACCTGTTAACAATTTATTCAAATCATTTGACCAAATGCCGTTGTTGACCATTAATAAAACTGTCACATTTTCTAAATGCATCTATTCGAAATGCATCGGGGTCTACATATTCGGCAGACAGTTTGTCTAGCTGCCTGTCGGTCATAAAGTCTGTTTGCGTGGCACATTTAATATATAAGAAATATATCTATATGTGGGGGATATTAAAAATTATTTCGATTTCTTATTTTTGCTATTAGATTTTTATAGTCTCTGATTGGTTTGTTAATCCCTGAGCTGTGTTTAAGCTTGGCTTCTTTTCGACCATTTATTGTATAATATATTGAAATATATTCGTAATGAAGTTTAAGTTTTCTAATTTTATTTTACGATTCATGTCTAAAGCTGTTTAGTAGATTAATGAATATCGTTATCTTTTATTTAATTTTTAATCACTTTCATAGGAATAACTAAAATATAGATATTCTTACTACGAGCTTCTAGTTAGAATCTTACCTTTATATATCCTAGAGCCGTTCAGCAATATCCAGAAATCTCCATTAGGCTTTAATCGCATAGATTATAATTAGGCAGTATTGAATTCATTTTATTAAATTGCAACCCTGGTTGCTTGGTGTCTGACGAAATCCGCTGTGTCTAATCGTGTCAACCATTAAGACTGATTGACGACGTCAAGTGTTCTTTCGACATATATATAAGTATATATGTATAGACACGATTAAGTATGAGTTGTTGCTAAAAACTATTAAACACTTTCACAATGCGCTTTTCACACAACAAATTGCCCACTTAGAAGTGCCGCATGCCCCAAAACAGCATCGCTCACACGTACATTGAACTTTGTTGCTCGCCGTGGCATGCCCGCTCCCCCCAGCCGGCTCCACACCTCTACCTTCTGGCCAGGCTGAAGAAATGTACAACATTTGCGCCGCATTTGTCGCTAAATTTATACATTTTGCAATTTTGCATTTCGCAGCTCTCGTTTAAGCATTTGTTTCCTCATTCCCTGCCGGCTGCACTTTCCTCGCAGAGAGAATCTTTGCGAGGAGGTAGGAGCAGCAGCATGCGATAGGGGCAGCCGTCATGTACTATATTTAGACGGAACGCTTTCGTTTCTTCTACTTTTTTTTTGGCCTAGTTATGATTGTGTTCTTTTAGGGTAGGGAAACGATGCAACTTTCAAATTTAAATTTAGTTACATGCACTTCACTTCACTCTCCACTTGCACGGCCCGGCGGCTCTCTTGATGGAGGCTGTCGCTCCCTCTCTTTGACATGTGTCACGTGTCGTTGACTGTTTCGCCTTTTGGCCCAGTTGCTGCCTGGGGGCTGACCCCAGCATAGTTTAGAGCATTTGCTTCTCGGACATTGGGCCAAATACGTGTGCGATTTACTAAATTTAGCTGCCAACACACAYACACTCTCACAGGTGATACACATGCACACATATACCTGGTGTGCGCAATTCAAGTGAAACAAATAATGTCCATTGCTGCCAAGGCTTTTTCCTCCCAACAGCTGCAACTCTTTGTTTTCATATTTGATAGACGCACATACGTATACCTATATAGCATATAATAATCATTTTCTTCAGTTTTGTCAGCGTTTTTCCGGCCTTTCTTGCGTGTTCTATGCTCTCAATCGAGTTCTCTTAAAGAAAACTTCTCTTAACTTGTGACGTTCGTTCTCTCTCTCTCTCTCGCAGTCTCTCCTTCACTCTTGTTCTCGCTCTCTGTTGCGTTTTACTATTTCTGATCGTGCGCCAAGTTTTTTTCGGTTTTCGAATAAAACATTTCAATACTTTGCTTAGTTCGCTCAGTTGAGTTTTATACGGCTAACGTAACGGATCAATAGCCACTGCAACAGCAACAGCAACAATTTTAACAACCACAAATTCAAATTAATTTATTATTTTAAAGTAAATCACAATTAAATACGGACGAGTGCTTTGAATTAACCTAACCACAAGCGTCTGTCAAATGTGTCAAAAGATATTTGCAATATTCTCGCTATCAGCTTACCAGAGACCTGAGATCATCTGAGACTCTAGACTCAAGACTCGTGACTCTTGAGAGTCGCCACAAGGGGGGGCAAGTTGTATGTGTGTTGCCAGTTGTTGGTCTTCAATTGAACGAACGTCTTGCTGTTCCCATATTTGGAGTATTGCGCACAAATTTCGTTTTTTATTTCATTTTTGTTTTAGACATTTCAAGTTTTTTGAGTTTTGCTCTCTATATATGGTCAAATATTTTGATCAGTTTTTAATTTGATTGCATTTGTGCGCGTGTTAAAGGTTAAAGTTGAAAAATCATTGCATTGAAGCAACTATTTAACAAATGTTAACAATTTGCACAGAAATTTATTGCTATTAAAAGTTTCATAGAGGAGCTCATTATTTAAAATAAAAGAATTACTCAATTCTAATATTATTTATTGACTTTATAAGTCTGTTTATTAAGTAATTCAAATATTTTCTTGCACTATTTCATTTTGGCATTTTTGAAAACATTTTTATTATTTCTAAATCATTTCATAATCCCATAGAACTTGCCCCCTGATCTTGGCATCAATTTGTTTCAGTGCCGTGAATTGTTTTTTTTTTTTTTTCAAGAAACTTTTATCTGCCGTATTAGCCAAGCTAAATTGTAGAATTACTACAAAATTGTAAAAAGTCTGGTCGTAAAAACACAAACTTTTCCATATTGTTGCAATAGGTCGTAAAATCATTTTGTGTCTGGCATCGAAGCTTCATTCATGGACAGAAACTAAATTAGCTTGAGATAGCTCAATATATATGAGGAAACAGCAGCCGACTCATAAATTAAATGCACTCGACATTTTGATTAAATGAAACGTCGTTCTACCCTGTGATACAAATGGGATTGGGTATGCTGTGTGTGCTAAAGTTAGACAAAGAAAGTTTTCATGTGCTATAGATTATTTTATAAAGTATTTGCATCGTAGACTTTCATTGAATATATGTTTACAGGGTATTTCTAAGTTGCATAATGCTTGTTAGCCTCCTCAGCTAGTTAGCCCGCTGTTTCACTCTCGCGTGGGTGAAGCATCAACTTAAGGCATTAACACCGCACAGCAAATAAACAGAAAACGCCAATGCGTCTCCTGCCCATAGATTAGTGCCTTCTTTTGTATGTCTTTTCAATATTATTATAAAATTTATGTAGGAACAAACACAGCAGACCTCCCTAAACATAACCAAAAACACACTCKCGCACACTCTCTCACACACACACACCTTGGCCAAACGATTTTTCTACCGCATTGCGGCAAATTTAAAACAGAATGTCAAAATTTATGTCTTGACGTCATTTTGTTGATCGATGGAGCATGGAAGGGGATTGAAGTGCTGGCGGTTTGGTTTTCCACATGTCAATATTGCGTTTTCTTTTTCGAATTCAAAGATCGTTTCACTTTATACAGCGAAAATTTGTTTGTTTTTCCACTTTTGTTTATGCCAAAAGAAGAAGAAAGAAAATGAAATTCACGAACATTTCGTACGCTACTTAATACAAAAATTGTACGAATTTCTAAATGGAAAATTTTAAATTGCAAAAGTTCTGTTGATTCGGTGCGCTCTATGCCCTGGCAAGCTGTTTGTGAAGCGTAATTGCAATCTAATTGCAATCTAGTCGATTGATAAATGACTCTCTGTGGGCTATTAAGCATATACTAAAGACCGATTTCTTTATAGCCAGCCTCTGTGCATAGATTGAGAGGGAATTAGTGAGCTAATACTACACGTCATGTCCTTTCGCTCGAGATCGCGCACTCAGGCGCCACTGACCAGCCGACGGCGTTCGCTCTCCTCCAGCTCCCGAATGGGAGCCTCGGGTGTGGGGGGCAGCAGCTCCTCCTCGGCTGGCGGCTACAACTACAATGGCAGCAGCTACAATGCGCGACCCCTGAGCACGGGTTACTATCCGAGCAGTAGTACTGCAGGCAGCAATGGCAGCTACCAGAGTCCCTACACCAGCATCTATAGCTCCCGCGAAAGCCTTTACGGAGGTGGCGGGGGCAGTGGTGCGACAGGGCGTGGCTCGTCGGGCAGCTACTATACAAATGGTAATGGGAGCAGCAATCGCTATGATTATATCAAATATCATCAGGCTTATCAGCCGCCGTCAGGCAGCTGCTCATCCGCTTCTACATGCTCATCCGGAGGCAGCGCCTCCACCGCCAACTCGAACTCAACTAAAAGCAATCATAGAAACGGCAGCTACTACCAACTGCACCAGTTGCAGGCTTCTTCAGGCAATAACCAGAATCACTACCACATCGTAATTAGCAAGCATAACAGCAATAGCTATGGCAAATCTAAAGCGTCTGCTCTTTCCAACTCCACCTGCCCCACTTCCAACTCGTCCACTGGCTGCTCGAATACCACAGCCGGCGGCGGTGGCTATGAGAGTTCTCGTTATGGCTATCCCAGCGCCTCGGCATCCAGCTATGGCAGCGATCATCGTTATGTCAGCCCCTACTCTAGCAGCTATGACAATGGCGTGACCACCGCCTCGCTCAGCTTTAAGTCACCTGGCCTGAGCTCCTCCAACTCGTTCAAGGGCTCGGCCAGTGCCAGGCTGCTGAAGACCAAGTCATTGTCCACATCCAACAGCAGCCTCAACACGGGCAGCAGCACACCGACCAGCGCGGGTGCCACGGTGGCAGCCATTGCAGCCACGCGCAGCAACTCGCTGCGGGAACAGGAGCGCAAGTCCCGCAATCGCACGCGATCCCGCAGTGCGGCTCAGCGTTCGATCAGTGCCTCATCGGAGAAGAGCGAGGGCTATGAAGTAAGCAATTAGGTGAAATGTTCTTGAATGTTGTTGCAGGTGGTAAAACTATTGATTATTATTAGTTAATATTATATCTAAGTCTATTTAGCAAAGATTGGATTTAATAATTTTGTATATTTTGCTTTGCAGAGCGGCAGCGAACGCACCTCACGCTCGCGCACTGGAAGCACGGCGACAGCGAGCACCGGCAGCGACTCAAAGAGCTCCAGCAACAGCGATAAAGCGGAAAACGGCGATGGCATCGATTATAAGGCGCTCTGGGAAGCGGCCAAGTAAGTATTACTAGGAGTAGCCAGAGCAAGTAATATGAAGAGCCGTATATTATGGTAGGGGATGGGAAAGATTGTATGTGTGAGTCGTCGATCTGTAAGACTGAGGCTAAACCATCTTAGTGTACTAGAAGAGAGCAGAGAACTAGTTCAGAAACTGAATATGTAGTCACTACTGAAAGAGTCATGGAATTGTTTCGTCTTTTATTATGATTACATCGTAATCTATATGTAGGATGTCATTAGCTGTTCGTTAATTTGTAATGGGTGACTCTATTCTACAATCTCTTTATACATATGACTCATCTCTCTATCTCTTATCTCTGCTTTAGATTGGAGAACGACAAGCTCAAGCAACTGCTCAAGCAAAAGGATGAGGAAGCGGTGCAGACGCGTGCAACGCTCGAGCGCTTTGCCAATGCCGTAAGTAAAAAGCCCACTAACATGCCACGCCCACTACTACAACAACAACAASTACTCAATAAATGAAATACGAATTAGTATTTTGTGAAAACAACAAACAGCAAATACCAATCAAAAAACAAAGAAAAACTCTCAGCAGTAACAAAGAAAACAACGCACAAACAAACCACAGCTCAATTTCTGTCTAACTCTATATGCTGCCCGTCTGTTGGGGCCTAGCTGTGATCTCTTTCGCTCTTTTGCTATCATACACACATACATACACAGAGACACACACATTCACACAAAGAAATTTTTCTTATACACTCTCCTCTTCATCAACCCAGCAAAATATTACTGAGTTGCTTTAGGACATGGCTCAGATCAAAATTTGTGCTTGCTTGCCGCTCGCGCTCTGTATCTTTCGCTCTCGCTCTCTATCCAAATGTTAAACAACACTACAACTGAACAACAGTAACAGTAACAGTATGACACGATACCGTTATCCCACATGCTTTAGTATATTGATATACAAGACCAAACGCCAAAATTTGTTCCATTTCCACATTCGCAGACCACTAAAAACTCGCTCTCTGAGATTGAGAAACGTGAGAGAAGAGCTATGGAACGCAAGGTTTCCGAATTGGAAGAAGAGCTCAAGGTAATTACAATTGTGTTCCAAATCCAAAACATTCCCCAACGCCCACCCACCGATAACAGTTAACAACGTCTCCTGCCTGAATGCTGTTTGTAATTTGATTTGATTTCAGTTTGGTTTTTTTTTTTTGTTAATGGTATCCCAGGTATCGCAACCCGTTTCGCTAGATACCATCCATTCCGGGACTGTTTTGATTTGTGATTTTTGCTTTTGTTTTATAATTTGGCCGAGAAAGTTTTATAGTTTTTTATTTTTTTTTTTAATTTTAAAAATCCTCACTTCTGCCGCATGTTGAACGAGTTGGCTAATGCGGCCCTCTTCTGATCTCCCCTGCTTATTTTTTTGATCCCCCACCTAACTGTTAATTTCCCACTGCAATAACCCTAACACTATTTCTAAAGCAATTCTGTTATAGCCGCACTCCGTTTCGATTTCCCCCGACCAATTGTTTCGCACCCCATTTAAAGACGTCCCGATCGTACAGATGCTACAGATCATATATGTATATTTTCATTATCTCTCGCTTTATGATTTTGGCCACTTTTGCAATTACGACGGCACCGTTGCAATTGTTTATAATTTCATTTATTATTTGTACTAGCGATAGAGCTGCACATAAGCTGTTGCCTTGATTAATTATTTGTTTTTCTTGAACCACCCAACCGATATCCAAAACAACAATCATCTGTATAATATCATCTGCATACATGTATCACCAGAACATCTCATTGTGTGTTTTGTTTTCGTAGAACAACAAAACTATCCATCCATATCTTATTGTCTCATTGTTTCATATGTCCATATTGTCTCATTCTCATTCTCATTCTCAATCACTCTCACTCTCTTTGTCGTCACATTGTCAGCCATTTGTTGTTATGATTTGGTCACACAAAATCCATGCGTTATACGTTTACCGTTATACGTTTACGTTTTACGTTACTCATTTGTCGTGCTCTTATTTTTTGAGCACGCCATTCTCTTTAATATTAACGCAATGCGCTCATTTCAGAAAAATACGCTCACTCAAATTTTATTTTTCTTTTTTCTCTCTTCCCACGCGCGCCTCATCCATCGAAACGAAACGAAATGTATTGAAAAAAAAAAAAAAAAAAAAAAAAAAAAAAAAAAAAAAAAAAAAAAAAATCATATTTATATATTTATACAACAAACGTACCACAACTGTTGTGTGTATCACTCTCTGTTCTTCTTCTTCTACTCGCTACTGTGTCGTTTTAGCTCTTACAGAAGCTAAAGACTGAGAACGACCGACTGCGTGCCGAGAATCGTGCCCTCACGCGTGTCGTCTCTAAGTTGACAACATCGGCCCAAAGTCAGCTGGCTAAAAGCAAATAGGCAACAGTTCACAGTTTACAGTTACTTTGCCCAGACTACAGCAAAGAAATTTAGATACATGCATACATACATATAACTAAATAAATATTAGAAAACAGCAAAATCAAATATCGTAATCGTAATCGCAATCGCAATCGTCATCGCTATCGTTTCTCTATATGCATACATCAATATACACCAAACAGCAGTACACCTAGAATAGTAAAAATTATTTATCTAAAAGATATTCGGACACCACCATTTGATGTGCTAGCTAGCGATCAGCTAATCAAATAAAAAACTTATTAGATTCTACTATCATTATTATTAAATAAAAATATTATTATTAAAGAAATATTTGCATTGTTATATTGAGAGCAACGTGTAACAATAATTGATTGTATTCTAGTTTTAAAATTAAGTTTACAACACTTTTTGCGAGGGGCAACTAAGCACTTTTGCATAGCCTGGCACTACTGTTCTATAAGGCCTGAAGCTCAATCGATATATTACTACAATATATATACAACACATGCACTTTAGCTAATGAATTTGTTGATTGAAGCCACTCAGTAAAGATATCGCTGCAGAATATACATATATATCATAGCACATACATATATCCACAAAATATCGCATATACTCGTAATCAAAATCATCGCAACTTCAAGGATTGTAGACAAAAAGCTCAACCAAGGCTGACCAACAACAACAACAAAAACAACTCTACTACAACAGCAACAGCAACAATATTAAAGGGTCGCAGCACCATCAGCACAGATCTAGTATCTTTTCTTATATGCAATGCGCTTAACGGTAATTGATCCACACTTGCACTGAGAAGAAAACCTGCATCATATATATGAGCTGACTGTTGTTTTGTTGTTGTATAATACCAATAAAAAATATATATATATCTATATCAAAACAAATAGCTAAACTAAATTTTCTAAGCCAAACTAGTTATAATATTGTTTTATGTGGGAAGTGTTTCAAACGTTTTTTTTTTTTTTTTTTTTTACAAAATTGTGCTCCTATTGTCTTACACCTATGTGCGTATTATTGGATTACTTTACAGTTTTGAAACACTCAGCTGTATATATATACATATATATTTATATATACCTACTTTATTGTAACTATACTTAACTATACTTACTTTACTCTATGACAAAATTGTCCCCTTGTTAATATTGTTAAAATGTTTTTGCCAAACAAATTTTATATACTCATGTGTCTGTGTGTGTTTTATCTCATCTATCTATATGACAGTTATATCAGAGTTATGATAATAAAAGTTTGACCATTTGTAATTCCTTGCAAAAGGCTGTTTATTGTTTGTTGTCCTTCTCTGTGCATATACCAACACCTTTGTCAGTTAGACAAAAATGTGTTTCTTTGTTCTACATTTGGCAACAGGAAGCAAGCGTCCATATCGTACATGTGCCTCACACACATAGAAGCATCTATAAGTTTTTTAATCTTAAGTCTGATTCGTTTTCTTGGTTGGGTTGTTGTGCATGTTGCTGTCTGTTTTCCTAGGGCGTTCATTTCCAGAGAGATGAGGTTTTAGATATAGATGTCGATATTGATATACATATAAGAATATGTATATATCTATATCTAAGTGGAGTTATGTTTTAACTAATGTTTGTTTGTTGTTCTTGTTGTTGCTGAGTTGCTTTCAACTAAATCGCATGATATATATTTTATATATTTTTTCCTTTATAGAGAAGCCATCTAATATACATATACCCCCTCAATTCTATTCTTTCAATGTGCTGTTGATCTCCTTATTTTTTGTATTATTTATAATTGTTTTCACTAATTTTGTTCAATTTTCTTTTACTTTCGCTGCACTTTCCACCAATCCAAATCCAGCAACTCGATGCCTACAAATCGGACAACGATCGCCTAAAGGAGGAGAACGCAGCGTTGATTAGAGTAATTAGTAAATTAAGTAAATGAAATTAAAAAAAAAAAAAAATGTACTCCAATCAAGAATAACAAAAAGAAAAAAAAAAAAAAGAAAGAAAAACAAAAACAAATCAACATCCACAAAAAGCAAATTTAACAAAATTGATATAAAAAGCAAAGAAGAAAAGTTCTGTTTAATATTATTATAATTATTATGATTATTATATTTTGTGTGTTAAGGCATTTAAGAGCAAGTTGGGAACCATGTTTCAAAAATCGTTGAAAATTGTTTGTTTTCTTTTCTTTTTTTTTTTTTAATCTCTGTCTCTCTTCCAAATTGAATATTATATATAATATATAAAGAAGTTGATGAATAGAGCGTATATTTGATTTCTATATATGTATACAAGAAACAAAATAGTGAAAATTATAAACATCAAAAAGAAAAGGAAAAGTTAATTATAGATTATAGATGTTGTATAACGGTTAATTTCAAACAAAAAAAAATCTTTACGAAGAAACTGAGAAACATATTCATCAAATGAGCCCCTAGTTATGGATTAGTTTAACTACATACATATATTGCATACATATAAAAATATATATTTTTCATATATACATATAAATTATATATACACACACACCATACACACATACAAAAAACTCATACAGCTAAAAAGTAAGAAAATAAATTGTTTGTGAGAAATGTTTTTAAAAGCAGCCCACGCAATGTCAACGTAATTAATTTATTAAAGCTGTAATTGTTTATAAAGGAAAAAAAAGGAAAAAGTGACGAAAACTTAACTCATTTAGCTATAAATTACAAATTTTGTAAACAATCAGTGGATATTCATATGAGAGTTATGCATATGCAACAATACAAGAAATATATGTATATATGTATATTTCGAATGTCTTATATATGTATATGTATGTAAACCATGGCGCTACAAGTTGTATATATCGATACATATATATATACTCCTAAATGTATGCTACAGAATGTTGCATGTGCATATAGAAACTTGATTTAAATCATTATGTTAATTTTAAGTTGTTCACTTTTTGGAAACGTATTATATATTGTCGTACTATACTTATTTGAATTTCGCCTATATATGATTATTGAAAATTCGTTTAAGAGATTTTTGTGTTACTCGTGATGAAACGACAAAGCAAACAAACTGAAAACAGAAAACAAATAAGTGAATTGTGTAATATGTAAAATTGTGAGAAAAAAATATTCAAATACGAAACTTAATAAATGTGATCGCAAAGTAATTGAAAAGTGTATTTCATTGTTAATGATTTGAGAATCAAAGTCTGAGCTGTGAAATGTTATAGATATATGTATGTATGTGAAAATTGGCTGAACTTGTTTATAAATTAAAAAGAGTATATTGGTTTGTGAGTCATTGATAGCTAAATATAAATGTTAAGAGGGAGCATGAGTTATGTAGAAGATATACTTAGATTGACGTCATACAGCTAGAGGACTTGAATAAAGGGAGATCCTCTGTCACTCAGAGTCTAGTATAAAGGGGAAAAGAGCTGCGTGAACTATTGAGTGAGTTTTGTAATGCGAACAATTTGTGATCTTTTCTAACTGTCAAAAATACAAATTATGTGACATACAGTCGACTTCTCAAACTTTTTGCATAAAGATAAATCGCAAACAGATAGGAAAATCATAATCAAGTCTAACAAATGTGAATAGCTTTGCCATTTATCTATTGCCATCAATCTACAAAAATTATTATAATGCTTGTAAATAAAAAAAAAATGAGATACATCTATTATTGGACACATTTAGTTGCGCCAAGTGAAGTGAAATGATGCATGAGAATATTTGCTGTACTTATTGAGGCAATGACATCAATGGACGGATTTGAACAATTATTTTGCGATTATTTGAGATATTTTAAATAATGATGCAAACTGCAGAGTCCAACCAAAAAAGGTCGTTATTAGTCAAGAACACAAGTCAACTACCTTTATCTGAAAAATCTTCTGCACAAGAGACAGCACTGCACGTGTAGTAATAAAGCCGTAAGAGCATACTATCAGAGGCTGACGTACTGCGGGATATTAGGCTGACTTTAGTCTCTGAACAGTATACAGTTTTGGGCAGAGCTATAGACAAAAAGAGGGGTTAATGGAAATGGCCTTTGATATGGGCAATTAAGAAATCAACGTATAGCATTGCAGGTGTAACTAAATCGGGTACTAACTGAAGTAATTTTAGAGCGTACAAATATATACTCTATACATATGTTGACATAGGTATCTCTGTCTATGTATAATTATAGCTGACGATGAATTTATGTTCTTATTATTTCTCGAATTATGTTAATGCATGCATACGTACGTCGCCCGAGTGTGTTTAGACTTAAGCACGCACTGTTCAGTGGGGGCTTATTGATAATTTGGCCTCTGATGTCTAACCTGGTTAAAAATATAAAACGTAAAACAATAGAGCGCACGTCATCATAGACCAGGAATAGAAGCAGGAGTAGCTATATTTAAAGCATTCGAACTCGTTTGGCCCACGGTGCGTTTCGGCTCCTCAGACGCCCGTCCAAATGTTACTCGACTCAATGTTGTGTGCGCCGCCAGCTGCTCAAAAGCCAATTGAGTGGAAGTGCGTTGAGCGCGGCTTAAATAACTTTTCAGTTAGCCAAAAAGCGTCAGTTTCGCTCAAAGCGTCTCTACGTTCACAACGTTCGTCGTCGTCGTCGGCTGGGCCAAACAAGAGAGAAAAAAAAAAACAACTTAAATTTATTTAACCTGGCCCATTGCAACGCCGCGGCGCACAAGTAAACCATATTTATATAAGTTTTTGGCGAAGTTGTGAAATTAAAGTGTTTTAGCCAAAAACGCGCAAGCCAATCAGTCGAAACGGATATCTAAAAGTGAGTTCATGTTGCATCACTTACATAATAGGGAAAGGATATGGACAAGAAAAAAACTCACACCTACACATACAAGAGAGAAATACAAGCAAATACGAAGCAAAATTGAAGCCGAAGAAAAACTTTCGCTTTCACCGAAGCACCACATGGCTTGAGTTTTTCTCAAGCTTCAGTCGAGTCAGTTTTATTTCTTTTTCGACTACTATGCTGCGACATCTGTGCGGATTAGATCAATTATCAAACTGAAGTTCTGGGCAATTATTAGGCCTATTCTTGGCTTTCGCTTTCAGTTTGGTTACACGAAATTTCGTCAAGTGTATTTATTGATCGCTTATGTAATTTGATATTTCTGCATATCTGCGATCTGGTATTGGCCAATAGCGGCGGTGAGATTGCTCAACCGACAAGTCAATTAAAATTACGCGCTAGTTGGTAATACGCCTTACGTTAATAGTTTGAATGTTAAGCCAAAGGCCCGTGCGGCAAGGCCAACGCCATTAAAAAAAAGTAAATAAAGCGTACGAACACAGAGTCTATGCAATCAGCGTCTATGTGACTTTTCAGTTATGAATACCCATATGTATATAGATACAATTGTGTGTGTATAAAGACATAGCTCATATTCATTGATATTCAACGGCGATCACAGTTTAGCAACTGCAGTAACGGTCACACTCTTGTGACCTCGCTGTGCGCACACCATTCGCATACAGACCCCCAAAAGAAGAGTCGACAAACATTCGACATTTCATATACAATGTGCCTTGGGGGCTTTTATATAGAGTTCCCAATCAATAAATGTTATAAATTCGTACAGTCGAACGTGTTGAGACTTGACAATTAACACTTTCAGCTAATGAATTGTGTATTTTCTAATGATGGCGATTCATTCAGTTGCATTCTAATGATCGAGAGATTACGTACTCGCCTCTTACAGCCACTTGTAGAATTAGTATTCATGTTAAAAGGTTTCCACTTCAATGACAAAGTGTTAAATATTAGTTTAGCTGCAGTAGATTTCTTAAGTGGGAGGCTTAATGTGAACTTACATCAATATCCGGCATATGCGATTCGAGCTAAAGTTTGAGTGAATTGTAAACCTGGAGTTGAAAGCTCTGCCCCAGCCAGAAACTCGTTTCGAATGTCTTCCGCTCTTGCACTCGCTCTCCCTCTCTCTCTCTATCGCACGCTAGCTCACTCTTGTTTTTGGCTGCTGGCGCTTTGTTGCTGTACTTGAGTTTTGTCAGATTTGATGTTATGATGTAACCACGAAGCTAATTGGCTGAGCGGATGCAGAGAAAGAGCGAACAAAAGAAAACACAAATTGCACGTCGCAAAGCTCAGCTTGAAATTTTCGCTCTTCTTTTCCCCTTGTTGCTTTTGCTGCTGCGGCAGCAGCTGCTGCTGTCTCCTGTAGCGCATATGGCCATATGACCCAAAAACGCAATCGTCAATAACTACACACACACACATATATATATGTATATACATACACGCCCATATGTACATATGGCCCGCACTCTTCCTCTCAGCTCACATTGAAATCTGTGTGAAGGCCATGAAAGTGAAAAAAACATCAAATAAAACTTGATTTAACGCCGTCCACTGTTATGGCCATCGCTTTGGGAGTCTGCTCATAAACAGTTTGTTGACCAAAACGGTTCGTTTTCTTTCTTTCTGTGCTGCGGCGAGCCAATTAATATGGCCATTAATACTGCGTAGAGGCATTGCTTTATATATCTCAAGTATATAGCTTCAATTGGCCATGTTCAAGTGGCCACTGGCCAATGACAGATACAGTGCCTGCAAGCAGTTGACAACTGCTGCAGGTGATATAATCTTCTGCTGCTCTGTTGCCTTTATCTCTTCGCTGACCTTCGAACCAAATGGGATTTTGAGCATGTAGAAATTTAAATAAGCGATCGTATGATGTGCTCGAATCGGTGTTCATATGCAAAACGAACTGTCCCTTCATTTTGGGTCATGGTCAATGGACCGGTAGATAGACAAAAAAAAACAAAAAAAAAGCCAACAGCCAGCAGCCGATCACCTGTGGATGTGGCTCTGTCTATGGCTGTTGCTGTGGTAATTTCAGCCAGATAGATATCAGCAGCTCTCAATTTAATCGATGCTTTGGTTATTTTTATTTTTTTTTTAATTTGCCAACTCTGAAGCAGATAATCATATGCAGATACATAGATGTTTTGACACTAACTAATGCGCGGCAACTGAACCCACGCAACATTGATTGCCGTAAAACCCAACTCAAACTCACAGGCAAAGCCAATGACCCAAGTTGAAGAGAAAACCAACTTGAATGCAGGTGGGCCTTAATTGTATCTGTGTACCTACGTCTGTGTGTGTGTGTTTGTGTGAATGTTGGTTAATGTAGGTTAGTAAACAGTAGTTAATACCCAAAGTTCGATGAATTTTAACATTTAGCAACGGCTTCTGTGGCTGACCAAGGCCAACTACACAATTAGTACTATTCGTTGTATACACCGCGTATACGTAATAAATCGTTTTAAGTTTCTTTCTGTATACACTTTAATTGGCTTTCAGCGGTTATAATAAGCATAATTGTATCTATTCTTGCAGTGCTGGAAACTGAGGTGCGACAACAACCCAAGCTCAATGGATCCTCATCCAATGAGGACTTTGATCCGTATGTTTGCTCTCTGAGCCCTGACTTGAAGGCGGTGGCCTGGGAGGAGCTGCACGAGGATGAAAATATACGGCGACAGGCCTTGGCTCAGTTCCGTGAGTGGATTGCCAAGCATCCGCATATCAAGAAGTGCCGCACTGATGCGATCTTCCTGCTGCGTTTTCTGCGCACCAAGAAATTCTCAGTGCCCGCAGCTTGCGAGATGCTCGAGCGCTATCTGACCATTCGCCAGTTGTATCCCCAATGGTTCCAGAAACTGGACATAAATGACCCGGCCATCAATGAGATCTTCGATGCTGGGTATTTGGTGCCACTGCCGCAGCGCGACTCGACCGGGCGTCAGGTGATCTTCTCGGTGGCCGCCAAGTTCGATCCCTACAAGTTCACATCGGTGCAGATGGCGCGCGTGCACAGTCTAATATGTGAGTCGCTGCTAGACGAAGAGGACTCGCAGGTGTCGGGCTATGTCTATGTGAACGACGAGAGCGGCATGAACATGGGCTTCGTGAGCCTCTGGTCGCTGACCGATCTGCGCAGCATCATGAAGTGCATTCAGAACTCGACGCCCATGCGCCACAAAGAGACGCATTTTGTCAATATACCCCACTATGCCAATCGCATCATTGAACTGGGCGTGTCCATGCTCAGCGACAAGCTGAAGAAGCGCATCATTGTAAGTCAAGCTGGTTATATATATATTTTTATCAATTATATTAAACAACTACTTCTTCGACAGGTCCACAAGAACGTAGACGCTTTGAAGACAAAAATGGATCCAGCCATTTTGCCCAAGGAATACGGCGGCACTGTTCCCATCGCCGACATGATACGCGAGTTCAAGGCGAAGCTGCTGCAGCGCCGCGCTGCGATCCTCGCCTTGGATGACATGCACATCGAGATCACCAAGGAGGCGGCCAACTTTGCGGGCAACGACGTGGGCGACATTGATGCCGGCGTCGTGGGTAGCTTTAGGAAACTGGAGGTGGATTAGTTTTAATGTCCAGTTGGGCTTTAGATTAGGCTAGGCTAGGTCAGAATACCATTGAAACATTTGACAACACCCACACACACACATACACAGTCGAAAGGCAATCAAAATTAATTCGCCTTTTGGCAGCATAAATCCTAAATTATAAATGTACAATTATTTTCGGCCGGAACTGCAGCATCAAATTTGGCACAGACATAGACAGGTACCGGAATCTGAAGTTGTAGTTAATAGTTGTTTCTAGTTATATACACATACACACATACACATACATATTCATGCACACCTCTATTGCGTGCATGTATGCTATTTAAATATACTTATTTACCTTGTTCAAATGACTGTCTTGATTCTTTCTATTGTTGCCATAAAGAATTCGTGTTTATTTCAGATTGCAGACGTTGCTCAAAGAGGTATGTAAACAGACGTTTATGTTCCTAGAATATGTACAACTGGCAATTTTATTGTATTATTCTGACAAGAAATTCATTAACATGGAAAGAAATTTAAACGAATTTTCGACAAGTTAATATAAAGTTGGAGTTCAGCTGAATTTGCAATTGCAAAAGTTTTGACCAACTTTTGTTGTATGAAATATTAGAACCATATTAAGTATAGACTTATAACATATGTTTATCAAACATTTTGTTAACTTTAAACCAACTCAACCTTAAATTAAGGTAAACTTTCTGGAATTTAAAAGTATTATCAAGAGTTTCGATAAAAAAAAAAACAACTATTTTATTGCTCAACTTAAATACTTAATCAGTTAAACGCCAATCTAATCAAAATGTATACCTATTAATTTTTCATAGAAGTGGCATATTTATAGTTGATGTTTTTGGCAAACAATTTCTCAACAAATTTCCTAAAAGCTTAAAATCAATATACATAGATCAAAAATGAATCAATCAATAAATTAATGGGTTTTGTTTATAACAATTTGTAGAAACAAATGGGCATATACTTTGAACTCTAAACGACTGTACCACATAAGAGATTCTCGGTAGATTATAGAAACTTGAACATAATTATGAAAACCCTATATAAAGTCTTTAATCTACAAAATGAAGTCTCATTAAAACCGTTAAAGTTTTGACCAAGTTATGAATTATTAAACTATTTAATGTAGATCGCGGGAAAACAATTGTTGTTGAATGTTTAAAGAGAGAGCTGAGATCTCAACGACCCAGAACTTGTTGAATCCATTGTAGCGCATTAGACAGTCGCACAAGCTCAGTCGCTGAGAACTTTTGTTGTGCTCATAATTGTTGTTGCAATGCGATAACGGTGACACAGACGACGACAACGTCGACGGTGAGAGAATCTTATTGCATTTTTGAGCAAGAAAGCAACGACAATCAAAGCTCGAGGTACGAAAGCGTAAAGTTCATGTGCTTGTGTGTGTATGTGTGTGTGTGTGTGTGCTTGCTTGTACTCAATGTTTATATGAGAGAATGTGTGTGAGTGTACAAAGTGGCGAGAATGTGTGTCGGCATTATGATTGTGTATGGTTTATTATTATGACCGCATACGAAATAATTTCCAAGTTTACATTTCAGTTGAGCGTTGGATCAGCTGGAGAACGGAGAACAGAGAACGCGAGCGCTGAGCATTGAGCAGCGATCGTGGAGTGGCTAGCGTTGATCGTTGATCATCTCGAGTTGTTAATTGTTGCGCTTTGTGACCGTGCTAAATGTTTCGCTTTGTGGCCCGGGCTTAGGCATGTCGACATCAGTTGCCGCCGCCAGTGGTTGAGCAATTGCAGAACATAGACCGACACAGTTATTCTATGTATATAAATAGTCGGGCAAACGAGGTCTTCTTTAAACTCTGTCTTTGCCTTTCTCGCTACACTGCTACACTGAGCATTGTCGTCGATTGTATTGATAAAGTGTAAGTGCGACAAGCGCCACGTGCGGAACGTTCTGGCGGCATACGGGGTGTATGCGCAATATTAATAGTGTTAGTCATCAGCTGTGCGTGAGTGTGTTTGTGTGCCTGTAATTTATTATGGGGTCAAAGACTTTTGGCCAAAATCACCATCAGCTAATAAACAGCTCAGATTCTAAAGATAATGCCCGCATGCATATTGTATTCATTTGCATATGTAAATGTGTGTGTGCTTTCGTTACACATGTGTGCATGTAAGCTGAACAACCTGCCAGCTGCATGTCAGCAGCTAATTCGCTACTGGGCACTTGCGCGGCACGAGCAGCTGCTCTCTGAGCATTGCAAGAGAGCGCTGGCGCTAACAGGCGGTGAGCATTTGGAGCGAGGCGAAAGCTTTGCCGCGAACAGCTGTTTGAGGGAGAGCTTATCCAAACGTAGCTTTTAACTGGCTTGCGCTCAGAGCATGTGATAAGTGGAAGGCGCACTGGAAGCACACGCACACACACACACACATATATATATGCAACTACTTCAATTACAATTGAGAGTGTGGGAGAGACAGAGAGCGCGTATGTGGCAATTGAGCATGGGCGGTCGAAGTGGCGTTGGCGGCTCGCGTTTCGCGTTTAGCGTTTATCAATACGGAGTACGAGTCGTAGATAAGAACTCTGAAATCATTTATATAAATTGAATTATCACCTCTTCCTTTCACACATTCGTATGGAAAAGCACAGAAGACAGCAGTGCAGTGCAGTCGAGCGGCGGCGTTAACTGGAACAACATGAACAAATTGCGAACTCTGCTGCCGGGCCAGCATGCCAAAGACACATCGCGCAATTCGGTCGCCCTGGAGCCGGAGATTGGCTTCCAGATAACCATTGAGACGCACGACCCAAAGGAGGGCAGTCAGCAAAGCTTTGCGGCCTCAAACGGTACGGCGGGAGTGCCCGAGTTGAATGTGCACCTGATTGCGGCGCGACACCTGCCTTCCCTATTCGGCTTCAAGATCGTGCAGGGCTATCTAATAAAGGTAATTAAAAGCTTTTTGTCTTTAGCCTTCGATTGTATTTGTTTATTTAGAGTGCGAATGAAAACCTGTCTGAAGAAATACTATATAAATATTTTATATACATAGACTCCATAATATTGATCGCATTTTCGATTTCTTGCAGGTTAAACTGTTTCCCGGCACAAAGCGCTTGGATAGCAGCGTTCAGACCAACACATGGCCCAAGTTCAATGAAAATTTCAAGTTTCCTCTAGTGCCAGACATTAAGTAGGTATATCGTGATGGCATCATAATCACATCTACTAAGATCTCTTCTCTGCCAATAGGCCATCCCTGAAGCATGGCTCCGCCTTCTCCTCCAGACGCCAGGTGCAGAGACGCGCGAGCGGTGACATTTCCGCACCTGAAGAACTTTTCGCCGGCCAATTTGTGGTGTTTACTGTATATGCTCTGCTGGAGCTGCCCGCCGCCGTAAGTCAACAGTTGCTGCTGTTCTTTTTCGTCTAATTTGTATCTATGTAGGTTAAATAAATAATGCCTTTCAGAGTTTCAATCGATTCAACAAGACCTATCGCTCCCTAAAAGATAAGAGCTCCACTTTCGTGCAGCGGCTCTCCTCCGGCGAAGTCCAGACTGAAAATGGGTCAGCGCAAAAGAATGGAAAGAACAAGAAGACAACAGAAAATCCTAGGGATGCCATGCCACCGTTAACAATAAGTGAATCACGTAGAAATATAGGTATGTATGTATATACTATTTATGATATAAAGTAATATGACTAATATTTTAAATGGCAATGCATATAGTATTTATAATATAAATTAATATGACTAATATTTTAAGTATTTAATTTGATTATAGTTTACTGTTATACATATTTACATTCCTGTTTATATTTCCATATGTAATTTGATTTGCTTTAGGCTCCGTCACTTGCTATCTGGAGCCGAAGCTGTTTAAGCGCAATTCTCGCACCGGCTGCTATTCGACTGAGGAGCTCTGGCTGCCCATTAAAGACATAACCACAACCGTTTCAAAAACAACGCCCAGCAACAACAACAACAATAGCAGCAGCAGYGGCAGCAACAACGTAAGCTATCAAAACAAACAAGTTGACAGGCAGATTCGACCAAGACTTGACTCAACTTTATATGTTTATAAATATTGTACATACATACTATGTACATGTGGATGACAGCCGGGTGTCGAGTGCATAACTTCATAACTTAGACGAGCATAAAAATGAAATTATTATGTGCATTTAATGTGGCCTAGAGAAAGTTGGCCAAAAGTAAATTGCGATGACTGCGTAACACACTAGACAAACATATACAGAGACAACGAAAGCAGAGACTGACCCTTGACTCGTTGTTATTTTGTTTTGTTTTTACAGCTCACGAATGCGCCTAAGGGCGTGGTGGAGTTGGCGCTGGAGGTGCGCGATCTCAGCGAGGCCGAGGGCACGGGCCCTAGTCCGCAGCCCACGGAGACGAAGGACATTCCAGTGGCGGCTGGTGCCAACAATTGGCAGCGCATGACAGCAGAGGTGAAGCGCAAGATGGGCATCAGCAATGTGGCCAATGGTGCGGGTGGTCCACTCATGCTGCGGGTAACGACTTCGCGCATGCGCTGCTCCAACAAGGTCAAGGATGAGCTGGAGGCAACAGCCGGCGGCGGTGTCTATGTGAAGACCACCGTGTTCGAGCACGGCATCTATGTGGATGCCTGGAAGTCGCCTGTGTTCTTCCCATCGCTCTCCACGAAATGGGACGGCTCTGGCGGCGATGAGGCGACCATTTGTATGCCATTGCGCAGCCTGGATCAGCTGGAGAACATTGTGATACGCATTACGCTGGCGACGAAGCTGAAAATGGCCAAGAAACTGGTGCTGGGCACGGTTATAGTCAGCGGCGCTGAGAACGCCTCCGAGTCGGGCATGGAGCAGTTGCGTCTGCTGCGCGAATCCCCGCTCAATGAGCGCGTGGCCACATGGCACTGTTACCACTAGCTAAGCTATCCTATCCAATTTTAAGAATAGTTCCAAATCGCAGTTTGTGTTTAAGTACATATATGATTAAATTTATATGCTCAAGTTTGTTTTTATTGTTATTGAAATAGTATTTGGATTCTCCGTTAGGCGCTGGTTTATGACCATGGCCATATTTAGGGAC